TCATTTTGTGAGGCTGCATCAGATTTGTATTGCTTTTTTTAAATTTCAGGCATAACACTTTTAAAAGATGTTTCAGAAGTTCAGTTGCTCAACCAGATGCCACACACTTCTTTTATTGTTGAAAATATGTTACCCTGAGATACGAGTTCACAAAATTATTCTGATCTTGGGTTTAATCACACCAATCGATGTTTTGTCCTAAATTTAAAACTTGATCAATTCATGTTCGACAAAACTGAAACGAAGATATTTTGCCATCCCGATGAGAAATTTAAAAAAAATCTAGAATATAATATAAAAGAAGAATCATCTAGCAACTAGCAAGCACTCATTGGCCAAGTTCGGGCGGGTCTTGTTCTTGACACGGGTATATCATTCTTGCAAAAGATCTTGTTCCGAGTGCAGTGTTCGTGGGTCGTGTTCCCGCCGTTCGAGGGCGAGAACAATGAAAATACTCGCGTCAAAAACAGACCGTCCGAACTCGGACGGCCATAGCGTGAGAAACTAGCTTTCTGGCTATATCGACAGAGGGCGCTATTTCTTATGTTTTCCCTCATGTAGAATTTTAGGCGTTTTTATCCCAAATTTTCTCATTCTCAAACAAACTGTGGATCGGGGAACAAAGTTTGTTCGATATGTTACACCATAATCTACGTGTCTGTGAAGTTTTATAAAATTCGGCAAGCAAGACCGCGTGGCGAGCGAAAAAAAAGTCCTCGTCCCACGGACTATTCGCCGCGATGAGCCAGCACCACCATGGTCGTCCGTCGGACACAATGGGTCGGACATTATCGCCGTCGGACAAAATGAGTCGGACTTAATCGGCCGTCGGACATAATCGGCTGTCGGAAACAATGGGTCGGACATAATCGGCCGTTGGACACAATTATTGTCGGACATAATCAGTCGGACACAATGGGTCGGACATAATCGCCTTCGGACGTAATGAGTCGGACATAATCGGACGTTGGACACAATGGGTCGGACATAATCGGCCGTTCGACATGATGGGTTGAACATAATCGGACGTCGGACATAATCGGACGTCGGACACAATGCCGGGTCGGACATAATCGGCCGTCGAGCATAATGGGTTGGACATAATCAGCTGTCGGACATAATGGGTCGGACACAATCGGCTGTCGCTCGTCAAAAATCTGTTGTCGGACGTAATCGACCGAACGGACATAATGGGTGTGAACAAACAAAACCTGTAAGACATCTCCTGACGATGACTAGAGCAGGCTTGTCGAAACGTTGAGACCAAAGACAAGTTTTTTGGAGCTTAAAGCAGGCCTGTTCTTGTCAGAACTACCTTGCGCAAGTTAATCAAAAGCAGGACAAGTTCTTATCAGAACTAAATATCTTTACCGATCGACAGTAGTTATTACCACATGGTGTTACCACAAACCGAAACGATACATCCCTTTTGATAAAAAAAAATATTTGCAAAGTGCCGATTGTGAACAATGTTTCATGCTCTATCTGATTACTGAGGGAGCTGTTGCTGTGAGTCACTTAGGAATACACTCTTCAGATTAAGTAGACGAAGATTAAATATAATGTGAAATTTAACACAAAGGTACATTTCAAGGATTGCATTTTAACAAAAATCCATTACAACGGCCCTTTAAGATTGAATAAAGGCCAACTGGCGGTTGCCCCTCCCCCTTCCCCTCTAGAAAATTGGGTTCTGCAAACGTCCTTTGAGGTGCTTGATTTTGTTCAACAGGGGAGTAACAAAACACCTCAAATATGGCTGCTGAATGCACAGCATCTATAAGCTTGAGCACCTGCATGGAGTTTCTTGACGCTCTTAAACAAAATACAAATAATGAATTTAGCCTTTTGGGGCAGCTGGACGGTGTTATTTGTTCCACAAAATCTCATTTACATTAAATCATTTTCATTCATTCATTCATTCATTCCTATTTATTTCCACTTAATCAATTTGAACAACAATTTAAATAAACGGATGAGATTAAGCGTCGGGCTTCTCCAAAAAGCAAGCCTGTCAAGTGGAGGAGCGCATTATGTGTGGAAATGAAATATATCATGGTAAATACTAATTACATTAAAGGGAATATACATCATTTGCTTTTGCTGTGATTTTCAGAAATGGATGGAATTGGGGGGTGGAAATATATAGCAAATATAGTTACACTGACTTTTGAGGTTTTGGGTTCGAAAAAGCAATAAAACCAAGAAAAACGATCATTTTCCTGTACTGTAGTCTGGTTCCCTGACTCCATATAAGAAGAAACAGAGCAGTTTACATACATTGGGGAATTGTAAGGTCAGGAGAACCAGTCTAGCTGGCTCGTACCCGTCATAGGTTTGTAATCGATTGCAAACAAGTGCGATGGTCAATTGGGGCCAGTATTTGAAAAAAAGCCAGTGTTTCCAACGCTGAGGCCGATCAGCGTTGGAAAATTGATACAAAAATACCACTTTTCTTGAAAATGACAGTATACCAGGTGCCATGATTTTACAGGGTGCTTGACACTGTCATTCACTAACAGCCCAGCAAGTTATTTCAAAATGATTTGGTAGTTTTATTTTTTGATGTTTGCAAATGTTGTATTTTCCCTTTAAGTCGTGAAAAAAGATGATGGTGAAAAAAGGACATTTGAATGGCTACGCCTATGTGGCACCCGGTGTTCAAGAAAAATGGTACTTTTGTTAATATTTCTAACGGTGGTCGGCCGTTGAAAAAACTAACTATTTTTCAACCACTGCTAAAAATTTACCATTTTTGTTCCAATCCAAATTTTGTTTGCTATTGGTTCCATGTTCATGAACGGGTGCATGCCAGCTAGACTGGTTCCCTTACCTTACAATTTTCCGGCATTTTTGATCCATTTCATCTTCAGTGGAGTCAGGGAACCAGACTACCAGAACATTTTTGTTTTTCTTGGTTTTTCCCGCATTTTCGAACGCAAAACTTCAAACATGTCAGTGTAACAATATTTGGTCTATTATACGTAATTCATTTCTAAAAATTACAGCAAAAGCCAATGGTGTACATTCCCTTTAAAAGAATCTATACACAGCAAATAAGAATGATAGTAATATAAGAATTAAGCACCACAGTATTTTTCCAATAGCAGACACTTGCGCTTTTTCTTAACTAAAAGGTCGACTAATAACACCTGTAAGAGTTAAATTTAATGAGTTCCAGAATTTGGGGCCCTGATAGACTACTTAATCATTTACGTTTAATTGTGCATGACATATGTCTAACTACATAATGATGCATATTAATATTTTTTTAATTCAAATCTATAATTTTTAAATTTATTAAAAATTATACATTTTTGTCCCGATTGTGAAACATTTTAATCTTCGGTTTCATACGAAAAAAAAAATTCTTTTGAAATATAATT